TTAGCCTTAAAGCACTCTCCCCCCACTAACTTTTACTGAATCTAACCCCCCTCTAGAATCTCTGAAAACACTACTGCAAACCACAAATTACAATTTACTGGCCCCTCTCCTTTCTTTCATACGACATGTTCTGGCAGCTCTATTTTCCTGCTCTTATGATCTGGTCCTCCTGCACGATCTTCTGCTTGATTCTTACGCCCGTCCTTCCGTCTGTTCGTCCGTCCTTCATCTAATACCGTCAGGAAACCGTCTGATGCTGGCTCCGTTCGTCCCTTAGATTGTCAGGCCCTCCGTCCTTGGTCTTGCTCGATCGATAGTAACAATTGGTGAGTATTAAATAATTAGTAATAATCAATTACTGAATAAATCCCCTCAGATAAAATACTTGAAGACTAGCTGATGTTTACAAATTAACACACCGTAGCTATATTCTTAGGGCCTAGCCTAAACAAATGGGTTAAATTAGTAGGTAAATTAATACTACAGCCTTGGGTTTTGATTTACACAACAGCCCTGGGGTTAAATCGCACTACAGCCCTGGGGTTAAATCGCACTACAGCCCTGGTGTTTAAATCGCACTACAGCCCTAGTGTTTAAATCGCACTACAGCCCTAGTGTTTAAATCGCACTACAGCCCTGGGGTTAATTGCACTACAGTCCTGGGGTTAATTTAAATTGCGCTACAGCCCTGGGGTTAAATTGCGCTACAACCCTGGGGTTAAATTGCGCTACAACCCTGGGGTTAAATTGCGCTACAACCCTGGGGTTAAATTGCGCTACAACCCTGGGGTTAAATTGTGCTACAGTCCTGGGGTTAATTTAAATTGCACTACAGCCCTGGGGTTAAACTGCACCACACCCCCGGGCTAAATTACTCTACAGCCCTTGTGATTATTGCACTAAGCCCCTGGGGTTATTCTATTTAAATCAGTAGCTAAACGCTAACTGCTATACGTTAGTATTCAATGTCCAGCAATATCACAATAAATACACAATATACTCTATCCCCAAAGCAATATATATATATATATATATATATACACTTTAAGTGCTACTGCAGCCCTCTCAGTAATGCAATAGCACTGTAATACTATTAAACAATATTTAAATACTAGCAGTTCAATCTTACCACCCCTTACGGTCTCAGATACACAGTACAGCCCCCCTCTCCCCAATCACTTTCATACGACCTGATCCTGCTCTCGTTGTCACTGTCACTCTATTTCTTCTGCTTTCTTTCACTTCTCCCACTTCTGATGTTCACTCCTCTTCTCTCTGTCCCCGTCCGTCCGCTCGTCACCAGCACCGGCCCCCCCTCCTCCAGTTCACTCGATCCCCTCCTCCAACTCGCGCCACCGGCCGGCCACACACGCTTCAGTCCTGCTCCTCCCACACCACTCTGTCCACACATGCTCGCTGCCCGGCTCCTGCGCTGGCAGCTCCCCGGCCCGACTCTGCATCCGCAAGCCTCGATCCCTGTGCCTCACGCCAAGCGGCGTGCTTGCGGCACCTCGACCGCTCGACTGTGTCGGCGTCTGTCTGTGTCCCCTTGCACTTCCGCTACCGAGTTCCGAGTCTCTACCAGCGTATAAACTATTTCCTCCATTAAGGGAGATAGCTGCATCAGGGCAACAAAAAAGATCTCTAATAATTGCTCAAAACAAAGCAGCTAAAATACTGGCATCTGTCAGGAGCTCTGAGAAAGATCTGGCTATAGCGATGTGTACAAGGCAATTAGATGTGGGCTGCCTATCTGTCTCCTTCGCTACTACATTCCTTTCTAATTAAGCCATAATTGCCCTGCTCACTTACGCAGACCTTTTTAAATCAACTTGCAACAACCATAATGACTTTAACAACATATTTCATATCTTTTATATGGAAATGGGTTCTTGTGGAAGATTCTTAGGCTCAACCCCTGTGAGCTAAAGAGTGACACCTGTAGCATTGCTGGGACTTATTGTGCCACTAGTATGGTGGGAGCTATATCTAGAGTCAGTACTGTAGCACACAAGGGAGGGACGATTTCTTAAATTCATATGGTAGACACAGTTTTAAGGGAAACACAGACTTGACCACACACACAGTGATTACATTGCTTGCTGTCATTCAGGATGCTCTGAACTGGTCACCAGAATGCAACCACAAAGTCACACAATCATCTGCCCAGGGCAGCCACAGTTCATATAGATAACTCAGCTCTACAACAAATTAAAAGAAGAAACAATTAACAGTCCAGGATTTATACAACAAAGATCCGCTTTGTGAAGCTGCGTTACCTTGCAGCTAGACACCCATTAAACCCCATGTCATACAGAGTACACTAAGCAAAAAAGGTTGCCTTTTGTCTGTGTCTCAGGGTCCTGATCAGATGGGTCCATTCAGCTGCGCAGTTTCGGTGCTCACTCCTGGCTCAGGACTTTGCCCAGTTGTTTTTAACAGATTTTTTGTTGTATAAAAAGGTAGCCCCCTCTCTCTATGTATGAAACAATTAACAGTCCTTTACCTGTATCTTACCAAACTTGTTACCCATAACTTACACAAATAAGAAGGTTAGTAAATAATCTGGAAAGGTATATCAAGAAACGGAAGTTCACCACTCGCTTTTCAGAGGACCCCGGGTCAACAGCTTGAGCCTAGCTGGGGTCTGAGGGCGTCTTGTGAACCTCCAAAACGCACTTCCAAAAACTTTAAAACAACAAACGTTAAACACAAACAGTGAACAGACAGATTAGATCAGGGCTCAAAATTTCCACTCGCCTGCTCGCATTTGGCGAGTGGAAATGCAGTGCAGTCGAGTGGAAATTCAGTCAGGCTTCCAGTCACAGACCGCGTACCTGACTCGTGGGAGCAGCTGCTCCTGCTGGGCTCTCCGTTCTTTCACCCGCAGCTCTTCACTGAGCTCCGGGTCGAAATCGAAGTGATCCCTGGTGACACTAGATCACCAGGGATCTGCCTGCTTGCCTCCTCCCTGCAGAAAGACAAGCAGGTGAGGGGGCTTCATTGTTTTACTTTACATGGTGGAGGGGCAGGGGACAGGGGCTTCTTATTTTAGGTGTGGAGGGGCAGGGAACTGGGGGGCTTCTTATTTTATGTGAGGGGGCAGGGAACAGGGGGGCTTCTTATTTTATGTGGGGGGGCAGGGAACAGGGGGATTCTTATTTTATGTGTGGGGGGTAGGGAACAGGGGGATTCTTATTTTATGTGTGAGGGGGTCAGGGAACAGGGGGGAGGGTAATATTTTATATGTGGGTGCAGGGAGCTTTATGACAATATTGTTAAAGTTGTTGTTAATATTAATTTTTGTAACTTTATTTTGCATAAAACATCTAACAGTGTCATTTATATGATTATTTAAGAGGGTGTGTTTAGAGGCGGAGTTAAGGCCGAGGCAGGGTAGGGGTTAGGTAGGCAACTGGTGGCGATCTATTATCCATGACACCATCTATAGCTCAATGTATCTCCAGAGCAAGGTGAGAACAAAAACTTAAAACAGCTACTCACCCGGCTGTGGAGAACCCACTCCTGACACCACATTGTTAGGGTCCCTCAGGAAAGTGACACTAAAGGGACTCGAACCCTCAGTAGTGGGCCTCAAACCCGCGCCTCCTGGTGGGACTTGGTTTGTTAAGGTTTCCTGGGATTCGCTCATGCTGACAGCTTCATACAAGTACTTGAGAATAAAGAGTCAAACCAAATTGTGTATCCACTCCATATTCAAAGGTTTATTGTTAAAACAAAAGGTTATATGTGAAACTAAAAGGGGGATGGTGGAGCATAAACCAATTAAATTCATGAACATATAAACAGCTACAAAACTAATCATGATAGTAAGGATCATGAGACAACCTTGGGGAGGATTTGCAAAATAAACAAGCAAAGACACAAACAGATAAGAAATACAATTTCTAACACTAACATTTTAGAAACATTTTAGAAACATCTCAAACTGGTTCCTGTACAATATACTGAAAAACACAATTTTGTTTGCTCAGACATTAACTATGTAAACCCAGAAACAGGCAAATGAAATTAATCATTCTTTCATCTTTTTTCCTTTATATATAAAACCCCAGTGGCTAATAAATACCACCAAAAGAATGATCTGTCTTTCTCAAAAATAAATAAATAAATAAAATACAGTGTTGCAAACTTGTGCAATCTGTGACCGCGCAGCAATCATACACGGAGTCGCACACCACTGACGATCGCGCTGGCAGTGCCATTATTTTCTAATGGCACCAAGTCACACTGCGTGGATCGCTGTGCATCATGTGTCGCAAAAAAGGTACATGTTACTTTTTTCAGCAATTGCGGTGCAGATATAACCCCTTTGAAATCAATGGGGCCGTGCGGCAACTGCTGTATGCAACTGCACACGATTGCGTGGTCCCGGGTCGCACCAGCCCTTAGCAATCACCAGCAGCATCAAACTCTCCCTGGAAATACTTTGTGATCTCTCCCTAATCTGCTACATGACTGTCCAACACACTGTGAGTGTGTAAATATAGACTTTTTCAGACATTAGCAGCATTAACTAGCTCTCCCAGCAAACCTTCTGTGATTTTTCCCTAACTTCTTCATGTCTCCTCCAACTCACATTAAACAAAGACTGGTGGGAACCGTGACTTTTAAAGGGAGGGGGCTGGCACATAATAAAACACAATAACCTGCCTTTTTAAGCCACCTGTCCACAGTCCAGAGGCCAGGAAGCACAATGTTGGTTATTATAGACACGAACATCTGTATAGCTTGCCATTTTCTCAAACTGCAAATGACCCGAAGCTCATTCCCTATTGATACTAAGTCAAAATTAGGTATTTACACTAATTGCATAAACACAATACCTAACATACAAAACTGCATTCATATGTGTCATTTATATCTGCCTCAATTTTCACTTGAGTGTATATTTAAATAATTCAATGTGCATGCATTCTATGTACTTTGGCATTAAATTGGTGTAAATGTTATATTTTCTATCCATATTTTCTTTTAAGGTGTATATCAGGATTAAAGATGATGAGTGGAATATTTACAAAAGATATGCAGAGTTCCGGAATTTACATTATAAATTGCTAAGCAAGTACCCATACGCGAAGACCATTCCCTTTCCACCAAAAAAAGTCATTGGGAATAAGGTATTTTGTTGGCAAACTGTTGAACAAACCACCAATGTAATAACAAGTACAAGTAGTGTTATTGTTAGAATGCTTTGGCTCATTATGCATGGCCATGTGACTGTCTTGAGCAAAACAACATTCCTGGCTTTCATTTGAAAGTACTACTAAGACTATGATGTGTACCAAAAAGCCCTCAGCCAGAGTAACTGTTCAGTAGGGCACTATGTTCTTGAAACAGAATGTAAACTTTTTTATTGATAATATTCATATCAAAATTATATGAATTCATTAATAAAATTATCCTATAGGTTTGAAAAGGTAGTTGCTGAACATAGTCTCTCAGTCCTCATTATTATAGTAATAAATTCCATATAAAGTCTTAATTGACAAATCCCCTATATACAAATATATTTAGCCACTCTCATAGAATACGGCTGCTATGGTTCCTGGGAATGAAACATTGTCCCAACAAGGGGGCTGGTTTTTAAACATAGAAAAGCTGACAAGGCATTTTAAACATAAACATAAATCCTGTACTGTATTATTAAGGATTGCAGAGGTTGCTGTTAACATTGACCCTGTACCCCCTGTGACATTACCAATCAAGATTTGCAGTAGTTAGACATACAGCAGGAGACTTCAGAGGTGTCGTTAGTCACAAATGTGCAGGCTGTGCATTAAGAAGAATTTGTTTAGCTGTCTTATAGACTCGGCTGAAATTCGAGTAATGTGTGGCCCTGTTCACACCCCTCTGTTCAACAGAAGTCATACTGACTTTTATCAAAGGAGCTGGGCCAATTAGCTGCAGTCACTGTTCATGCATTCTGACAGCACTGGGCATTGGCTGTCAAAATACAATAGCCACAGCAGGAGTTTTGTCCATGACAGTAAGGAGTTTGGTGGGAAGGGGGGAGCATCAGGATTTTGCTATGGGACTGCCTCAGGCAAGTACCGTTCTCCTGGAAACCGCCAAACCCCGACACGTCCATCAGATTGCCAGACAGAGAAGCGTGATTCGTCACTCCAGAGAACACATCTCCACTTCAATAGGGTTTAGTGGCAGCGTGCTTTACACCACTGCATCCGACGCTTTGCATTGCAGATGGGGCTTGGATGCAGCTGCTCGGCCATAGAAACCCATTCCATGAATCTCTCTACACACTGTTGTTGTGCCAATCTGAAGGCCACACAAAGTTTGGAGGTCTGTAGCTATTGACTCTGCAGACAGTTGGCAACTTCTGCGCACTGTGCGCTTCAGCATGCGCTGACCCCGCTCTGTCATTTTACGTGGCCTACCACTTCGTGGCTGAGTTGCTGTTGTTCCCAGTTGCTTTGTTATAATACCACTAACAGTTGACCGTGGAATATTTAGTATCAAGGAAAACTCATTGAAAACCTGAATCTAATGATTGGAGGGGTGTCCCAATATAGTGTATATATACATACAGTATATAATCTGAAAGGTATCATTGCATACTGCAATACGTTTTTTTTGTTTGTTTTTTTTCTACATATACAGTGTGTATATACTGTGTATATATATATATATA